GGGATCCTCCTGGGATACGATGCCTACATCACCCTCCCCACACGGCAGGGCCACACTGCCGCCCCCACTGGTGTGTACTGGGAGCACTGGGAAGGGGGTTCCTCACTTATGGTGGGGAGTGGGAGCACCGGGAAGGGGTTGCTGCCCTGGTGAGGGTACTGGGGGAAACTTGGGGGTTTGGGGGTCCCTGGGGTTGTAACTAATCCCCCACTTTGTCCCCCTCCAGAATCCCCAGACGGTGCCTGAACAACCCAGCAAACCAAACGGAGACCTCCACAAACCTCCCCCACCGCAGGGGGACCCCCAGCCTTAAATTATTGAGGGGTCCCGACGCCTGGGTCCCCCCGGGGGGGGACAGGGGTAGATTTGGGGGTCCCTCAGGGGTTGCCCCTCCACCAAATACCTTCACAAGTGCCTTGAATGACCTATGCCTCAGTTTCCTCCTGGGGAGACCCCCCTCAGGTTTAAAGGTGCCTTTGCCTCTCACAGGTTCTGGGGTGCCCGCCTCAGTTTTTGAGGTGCCTCCGTTAGTTTTTGCGGTGTTCACCCTCCCCAGCCAGCGGGAGGTTTTTGGGGGCAATATATTGGGAAATAAAGGGGTTTTATTACTGCATTTATGGTTCCAGTGGTTCTTTCGAGGGATGTCTATAGATCCTGAGGGAGCCCCCATAATGGATCCCCAAGCCCTGCAGACTACAGCTCCCAGCGTGCCCTAAACCCTCTCCCGTCACGGTTCCCGCCTGGTGAGAAAAGGTGGGAAATCCTCTGCCCTCATGGAAAAAGGGTGGGAGACCCCCTCCTCGCCCACAGAAAAAGAAAGGTAGACCCTCCCCCATCTCTTTACGTTCGAGGCCGAGAAACTCCCCGTCCCCTCGCAGAAAAAGGGAGAAAACCCCTCCACCTCTCACGGCTCCGGCGTCGCGCAGCGAAAGAGATCGAGCACCGTCCCAGCTCCCCTCACGGAAAAAGGCGGGAAACCTCCACACAACTCGCGCCCCGCCCCGCGCATGCGCACCGCCGAAAGGACCCCCCCACGCACCCCCCGTGCGCCCTCCCTTTACGCTCCTCGCCGCGCGCACGCGCCC